ACACTATACATTAATTTGATAAAAATGCTTACTTGCAAAGTACTTGTACAAGCCAGATTAGTACATATTTAAGATTTTGAAAATCGTATGAAAGAAAACCATCACAAGGCCCTTACCAGGTAAACTACACTAACACCAACTCCTCAAACACTTAAAAAGTCACGGCTGCTTCTCCTCATGTTGATATTATCATTACTTAGCCTCTTCTCCAATGTTAGACAAACTCTAAATAGTAAAAACACTGTTTTATTCTTGTTTTTTCCCTTGGGGCAGGGAACCATATCAAAGTAACAGTACTCAGAGTAAAAGACTACAGCCATATTTACAAATGATGAACAAGTTTCTGCCAGCTTGAACCACTAATGGTACATGCATGACTGCCTCCCTCAGGTACAAATGGATCTTAGCACTTTTATCGGCCTTTTTAATAATAAAATTAATGAAAAGTCTATAAATGGACTGAAGCAAGTTAGTTGCTTGAATTTGAATAATTGTATTGATATTCTTCAAACCAATTAAAAATTATTACAACAATCAACAAATTTGTTTAAGTAATCTGTGCCTGTTCTTTAAGTAATTCGTCCTGAATTAATAGTTTACCAATAATTCTCTACATTTTTTAAGCATAGAAACCTAACAAGTCCCCCCCATTGCTGGTATACATAATATCCATTTACAACTTCTTTGTCACAAATTGGCCATATTACAATTTTTTATACCACTTTTAATATCACTTTAATGTTTTCCTTAATAATTGTAATATTGGGCTGGGGATTTAGCTCAGTGGTTCCACCGCCTGCCTCCCAAGCGCAAGGACCCGAGTTCAATCACTGGTACCAAAAAAACAAAACAAAACAAAAAAAGAACTGTAATCTGATGATACCTGGTCTGCTAAATCCATGCCTTTCTTTGCATTACTGTAATCAAAGACACTCCCAAGAAGTGATACCAGCCACCCCACGGGACAGTTATGCACACACTTCCAGTGGTTCAAGCCGGTGGGAACAATCAAATTCAAATCAGAGCCACCCAGCATGAGACATACGAATTATGGCCCAGTGTGAACATGTCACTACATAACTCTAAGTCAGGTAAGGGAACTTCGAATAGGGAGTCTATGATTAATGTCCATGCCACCCAGAGATAAAACAGAATGCTGCTTTGTAGCAAAAATCTACGTAATGATTTTAATCCCACACCACCACCCACATATAAAAGCAGATAGCATTAGAAAGAAGAAACAATAACTTCAAAACTTTAAATAATGGTTACCAAAGGAAAAAGAGGGGGGGGTCCAATTTATTCTACAGATCATTGTCTTCTGTTATTAAAAACAAGCTCATGTCAGGGACTTTAAAATTATCAAATTGGCCACTAGGTGCCAGGAATGCATCAGTTTTCCATAGTGGGAGTAAGAATTAAAAGCTGTCTAAAAAAAGTTGATTGGCCCTCAGCTCTGTTAAACCATGTTAAACTCCATGTTAAACCCCAAATTTATCCAAATAAGGTCAATCTGAGGGATACTGAGCCACCCAAACAGTTT